CGTAAAACAAAACACACACAAAGTTCATTTTCAGTTTTAGTTTTTTTTTTTCATGCTGCTCTTACACTAAATGGCCACCAGAGGTTAGTGTTGCTATTATTTTCAAGATCAGATCAGTTGAGGGAAGGTGGGGAGAGGGCAGGGGGCGAACCTTGTGGTTCCTTATTTGCTCTTCCATATAGAATCGACGGAGCCCCGGAAATAACACGTTTCAACCAAAATAGAACCAATGAATGTGAACTGAAAACTAAAGAACAGATGATGAAAAGACCTCCTCGGCCCACATGACAGAAGCAAAACACAGATGGGGGGCATGCACATTTAGACAGGCTTTTTAAAATTCATCAAGAGACACGTCCATAAAGCTTGCTTGGGATTCATTTGCCTGTACGGATTCTATCCTGCAGCATGATCCCTTCAATGTTGCTGCTGTCTGCCAGGTCTGGACATGTCTGGGTCCCTGCGATTGACTTCTTGGCTCACATTCCAGTGTCACGGGGAGGAAAAGGTAAAAATGTCTGTAAAAGGCAAAGCGGCACACAACAGAGAGTAGTGTGGGGCTTCTCAAACGGAGGTCCCCGCAGCCCTTGGAGGTCTGTGAACTCTTGCTTCGGGATTGGCAAAATTATTTGCAGTCCATTTTGACTGTGATGGACGGCTGAAATTCCAGCACGCGCACGGCATTTCTAGCTCCCTCGCTGTCTTTTCTTATGTAGTATTGTTCTGAAAAAATAAGTTTCGAGAGGGGTTGGAGAAGTCACACTTTTGCAAACTGCGACATTTAGCAGGTTCATATGTGAATTATGCTCATTTTTGAGGTTGGCGGTTTGAATCTGTGGAATTTGCGTGTTCTCCCATGCTTCCATGGACACTCAGAAATGATTTTTCCACATACACCATGAAAAAGACACCTGAATCCCAACAAACTAAGACAAACTTTCTGACAACTATTTTGTCGCAGTCAAACAAAGCCTTTCATTGGAATTCAGTGGGCAGCATTCTCAAAAGCACATTCAAAACTAACCCATAGGTAAGGACAAGAAAATATCGTAGCGCATTCATGTTTAACGAACTTTGATATTTCTCCTCTAGCGCAAAGGATTTCATAACCGGCTGCATGTCTCTGAGTTATCTCAGATTACTTCCAACAGCTGAAATCAGGCAGGAGGTTGTGTGGAGCCACGAAACAGCTGAAGGGACCCGTCGGCCAACAACAGCCACAAAACAGGCTCGCTCCCATGAGCGGGCCGGCGGGCGAGGCAATTTGCAACGCCAACAACATGTAATACGCGGCACTGATTGGGGTTTTGCGGGTGGACCACTTAAAACACATTTCTGTGTTTGATTTCGGCTTAAGAAAACAACAAGTCCCCATTCCGCAAGGAGTGTACAGTAACGCCCCACCCCCTTGCCACCCCTGCAAAAGTATCAAAAAAGAGAGAACAAATTCCTTTATTTTTGCCTGAAAACATTTTGCATGGACATCAACAGATGAATATGACACAAGATTTAATGAAAAAAAAATCACAGTTGCTCAGAGAGTTGTTTGCATTTTCTGGTTGAAGCTTCTTTACTTTCGGTTCATTCAGTTAAATTTGGATACTTTCCCTCCTTCCCTCTGGAGGTTGTTTTCTGACGTTTGGAGGTTTATTTACACGGCTCTGACAAAGTTTCCGTTATTTACTGTTGATGTTTTCCAATTCAGTCTGATTAATACATACTGGCACTTACTTGTACGCTAACAAATTGGCAACTTGAAACTGTAGTAGAGATTGAAGTAAACTACCGGAAGGTTCCTCTTATGTATTTTTAATGCAAAGCCTCACGTAAGCTAAGCAGTCTTCCGTGTACTGATCACTCGTGCTATCTTTAGCCCCTGCTGGCAAGTGAATGGAAGTGCCGTACTTATCTCCCCTTGCTGTCATCGAGGCTGCCAGTACTTTTAGGGGACAGCAGCAGCTGCAAAAGCATTTAACGGTATTCCGCGAACAATGGCACTTGGGGTGTCTAAGGGCTGAACGCCGCAGAGATCGGGGCCAGGGGTGGGGGGAGACCGTTTTGAATCCGAGACCACCGAGTAGCCTGAAGTCGGGTTGAACCAAAAGGAAAGCTTCAAACATGTACCGGAATAGAACGGCCCGAGTTTTGAGGAAAACATGAATTTGAAGCGGACTCGGGACGTTGCCTTCACGAGACCCGCGCTACTGCTTCTTGACTCAAAGACTGGTCGCGACTGTGGAATGTATGTTGACGGTCATCACTGGCGACTGAAGCGAGGTAGGTCATCTGAGGGGTGCACGGCACAGAGTCACCGGGGCCAGGGGTCATTTCAATTAAATCAGATATGTAAACACAGAGGTTAATCTGCTCCCTTTAAACCACCGATGGGAATATTCATGACACTTCCAATGCAAAGTGCAAACCGTGACATTTTTTCCGGAGATCTAGTCTCCAAAGCTAACTTTTAAGTTTAACTTCAAGTCTACATTAGTCAAGGCATTGAAAATATAGGTCGGCATAGTAACTGCTTTGAAGGCAATTGGGGGATTGGGGGAGCAACGGTATTCCATTTTTTTTTTTATCTTGCATTGGACACATACTCCTTTTATATAAACAAAACTAAAACTCATGCCAAAACAGATAAAACCAGACTAAAAATTCGAATCTCATAAAAACCCTCTCGAAACAAATTAGAATTAAATAACTGAATTTCAAAACGAAAATCAAAACAAAATAAAAACTAACCATAATGACAACTCCAAAACTATTACAACATGGTATCAACTAAATCTAAATAGATTACATTTCCTGGACCTGTACATGTTTTCAGTCAGGGGATCCTGGGTTTCGATGGGATGGTGGCAATGTACCCAAAATTCACATGCAAGCTACGCTAACTTAGTGGGACAACACGGTGCGCAATTCAGTCATGAGCCCTTCCAACTTTTATGATGATCCTTTCATGGTTGTCCACCAAATTTCAGGTACCTCCAAGAGACTTTTTCACCTGTTCTGTCATGACAGATTTGTCCACCCAAATTTTTGTTAATCTGTCTGACTGTAAGAGAATCTTTTTTTTTTCCCCCGCGACTGAGTGAGGTTGGTAAACCACCTGTTGAGGACCCCTAAAATATGCAAATCTTCAACCATGAGACACGCACTTGCAAAAAAAGTGTGCCTGCTGCTCTGACCCGAATGATCATAACAGCAATTCAAACGATGTACCCGTGGAATTTCCTAACCATGTCGACAATGAAGGCTCTGACGGAGGCCCGGCATATTTTGATTATGAGGCCTCTTGGGTGGGCGCACTGCAAAAGGCTCCACGTGTTTGTGTGAGCCTGCGTGTTTCAGAAGCTTCTTTGCGATATCTGACAAACACACACACACACACACACACACACACACACACTCTCTCTCTCTCTCTCTCTCTCTCTCTCTCTCTCTCTCTCTCTCTCTCTCTCTCTCTCTCTCTCTCTCTCTCTCTCTCTCTCTCTCTCTCTCTCTCTCTCTCTCTCTCTCTCTCTCTCTCTCTCTCTCTCTCTCTCTCTCTCTCTCTCTCTCTCTCTCTCTCTCTCTCTCTCTCTCTCTCTCTCTCTCTCTCTCTCTCTCTCTCTCTCTCTCTCTCTCTCTCTCTCTCTCTCTCTCTCTCTCTCTCTCTCTCTCTCTCTCTCTCTCTCTCTCTCTCTCTCTCTCTCTCTCTCTCTCTCTCTCTCTCTCTCTCTCTCTCTCTCTCTCTCTCTCTCTCTCTCTCTCTCTCTCTCTCTCTCTCTCTCTCTCTCTCTCTCTCTCTCTCTCTCTCTCTCTCTCTCTCTCTCTCTCTCTCTCTCTCTCTCTCTCTCTCTCTCTCTCTCTCTCTCTCTCTCTCTCTCTCTCTCTCTCTCTCTCTCTCTCTCTCTCTCTCTCTCTCTCTCTCTCTCTCTCTCTCTCTCTCTCTCTCTCTCTCTCTCTCTCTCTCTCTCTCTCTCTCTCTCTCTCTCTCTTGTAGCTCTTTACTTAGGTTGAACTATATTAGGTTGAACTATATTAAGCACTTTCCCAGTGAAATACAGCACCAGCTGTACTCGCTGCGTGTTGTGGCTGCCTTTGCAGTTGGACCAGGCTGCCCACCCCCCAGCAACCCGCCAATCACGCTGCCGGCTCGTGTTTTTCTGTCATGCAGACAGCTCTAATTCAATTAACCCTAATGGTCATACCATCCGTTTGTGCTCAAGCATGCATTTCACGGTGGATCATTAGAAGTTGTTGTCTTGTAAAACTAATTTTAACAGTACGTTCAAGCATTCCATCGATACCAGTGATACCCCAACCAATTTCATATTTTTTTCCATTTCGGATTCAGGAAAGAGAGCATGTATTCTCAATAAACTATCTTTGTTCATCTTTTTATGCCACCAACATATAGTGACAGGCAGAATAATTTAAATGGTCTTCCACTAGATGACAGAACTTCAGGCACGGCGACAGGATTTTTTTTCTCTTCTGGGGTTTGACTGATATGTTGGGGGCGAGTATAGGGGGGCACCTGGATCCAAATAATTTCATTTCATGCAACCGCTTGACGAAATAAGAGTGAGTACATTCAATGCAACTTTTTTTTCAGTGTAACCGAAAGAATGAGAAACCACACCCCCCTAGACCCTCCTTCACAAACGCACACAGAAAAAAAAACCCCATCATGAAAGAGTATTGCATGTATTCAGAACAGCACATTGCGGAAATAAGCTGATTTATCTGGTTGTTTAATTTCACGCTGGATGGGCAAGTAAGCACTCCAAAGAGGCAACTCTTTGAACAGAGGCCATTTCAAATCCATTTTTCCATGAGTCTCTTTGAAATGTAATCCATTTTAAGAAATCAGGGAGCATTGTTTTCCTGTTAAATTGTCCCATTTGACATCTATTTTTCTTTCCTTTCTAGAAATTACCTTTGCAAAATTAGGACTGCACCGGCCCGTGTGAATAAGTGTTAAGTTTGGCCCTCTCCAACTGCCGGAGGCGAAGCAAGGCTGACGGGGCAAAGATGGACGTATTTGGTGGCGCGCCGCGCTTCCTGGCCTATCCCAGGCCCGTCGGTGTACAGAGCGGGACCGACGCAGTCCTGAAGTGTCAGATCGGTGGAGATCCAAGACCGGCAGTCATATGGGAGAGGAACAATGAGAAGATTGACCCACAAGGACGATACCGCGTCTTTGAGGATGGCAACGTATACAATCTGATCATAACCGCTGTGACGATGGAGGACAGCGGTCAGTATATGTGCAAAGCAAAGAACAGCATCGGCGAAACGTACGCAGCGGCCACACTGAAGGTAGAAGGCGAGGCGCAAGAGCTCGAGTTAAGAGAGGAGAACAAACCGCGATTCCTGATCAAACCTCTATCCACCCGAGCCGGTCGCGGAGATGACGCCGTCTTCTCCTGTAAGCTCTGGGGAAGTCCGCGACCGGAGGTGACCTGGGAAAAGGATGGCAAAAAGCTCAGCGAAATATTCGAAAGCACTCACTTCAGCGTGAGTTACCAGGATGGGGGATGGTTCCAGCTGAAGATTTTTAAGACTCGCGCACCGGACGGCGGCGTGTACACATGTAAGGCGAGGAACGAGTTTGGGGAAGCGCTGGCGGGAGCCGTGTTGCTCGTCGACGCGGGCCCCGGACACGAGGATGACGCAAACCGCAACGGCTACAACAACGGCAACAGAAAATGTCACCAAGGCAAACAGAGGATCAGCAGGCAGATGCCCAATCAGCACAAAGACCAGATGACGACCAAGTCGACGAGAGTGAAAATGTTTGCGGTGACGGAGGGGAAGCATGCAAAATTCCGATGTTTTGTGACAGGAAAACCCAAACCGGAAATCATTTGGAGAAAAGACGGAAGACTGATACTGTCTGGAAGGCGATATTTGCTGTACGAGGATCGAGAAGGATACTTTACACTCAAGGTTTTGTACTGCAAGCAGAAGGATAACGGTGTCTACGTGTGCGCCGCATCAAATACGGCGGGCCAAACCCTCAGTGCTGTCCACCTCTCAGTCAAGGGTAAGTTCGTCGGAATGAGGAGTCTCTCGCTTATCTGAGAGTCACGAGTCAGTCTCAACGTTTCACGCGAGTTCCAAGTGACTGTGGCAGAACTCAAGCGAGTCAAGTCATTTCATGATCTGGCCTAACCGAGTCATGCTTGAAGTCGTACCGTCTTGATCGGTCACAGCATTGACGGTCATCTAGTCTTTGGTTTCATTTTTCAAAACCCTTTCCGTATCACTTTGTCTTCTCGGCAAAACACATAACCGACATGAAGCTTAGTTTGACGAGCTCCTGGTTAGCTCAACCGTCCAGTGAACGCAGCTCACATGTTTTCGTTGATTGTCAAGTGACAGGTGGCCTGAGAGTAGATTCGGTGTAGTGCTTATGTCTCTCATCTTTGAGTTGCAAACCTGACATATTACCCTTCTTCTTTTCCCCATTTTATGAAAAACGTTGAATCCAAATTCCTATGTGATACTTGGTTCTTGAAGTGGCTTTCACAGTCCGTATCGTAGTATAAAGGCGGGATGCACGTTTGCACAGTATTGGACAGAAAGTCAAGCCATACAACTCGAGTCTACCGCCGACTGTCAGTCTGTGACAATTTCAGTAGTGGAGGAGTGCGTGAGTGCATGCGTGTTTGGGGTGGCGGTTGGGGGAAGGGGCGGTGTTGTGTGTCCTCGGATAGGATTTCCCGCCATTTGATGCTGGAGCGATGTCAGGGACATAGGTCCAAGAAGGTACACTGAGATCATGAGGTAAATTCTAACAGTGGTATCATGTCTGCAAAGTCACTTGTGAGGAGGCACCAAGGGAGGAAACGTGTGATCACCATGGGACGAGGGATCATGTTTCTCACGTGGAGTTCCAAACATATTCCTCGTTGAAAAGTACACACTGTAATGTACGGTATTTGAAAGAATCTTCTCTTTGTCACGAGTGGTTACTGGTAGCATTCAACTTAATTCTGAATCACTTTAAACAAAACAATGTGGCGATGACCTTCCAGTTCCTCATCAAAATGAGTCTGATAATGTTGCTCTTTTTGTGTTCACACAAAGCTGTACCCACCTTTTTTTGTTCTGGCGCCAGAACCACCTGTGCGGTTCAAGCAGCCGCTCATCGATCTGGAGGTATGGGAGCGGGACTTAGCTGTTCTTGAGTGTGAAGTCCCAGAGGACTCTGTCCCAATCACATGGTACCTGGAGGATCGACGACTACAACCAGGAGCCAAATATGGAATGGAGGAGTGGGGAACAAAGCGCAGACTTACAATCCGTGACATCGGTGTTGATGATGACGGGATTTACCTGTGCGAAATGCCCGATGGCGGACGAAGCATCGCTGAGGTGGCAGTGAAAGGTAAGCCACAATCAATTGGCATGGAGAAGCAAAAACTAATGGCAGGTAATCATTGTTGCTTGCAATCCGTTCTGGTTCGTCTCTGGGTCTTGAATTTCCTCCTCACCGTAGGAATGTTTTTTTGTGTTTGTTTGTTTGATTGTCGTGTTGTCATTCGATCTGGCGTGCGTTTTCACCAACTGTGTCTCTCTAGGTCCAATTATGCGAAAGCTTCCAAGGAAAGTGGATGTTTTGGAAGGTGAAAATGCTGCCTTTTGTGTTGAAGTGGAAAAAGAAGAGATGGACATACACTGGTATAAAGATGGCGTGGAGCTGCGTGAAACGCATCAGACCATCTTGAAGTCTTTTGGTCGGACTCATATTCTAGTTTTTGTCAACACGATGCCCCAAGACTCTGGCTTTGTGACTTTCTTTGTGGGGCGATCCAAGACTTCCTCTCAGCTCAGAGTCAAGGGTAGGGTCCAGTCAATGACAGTGTCACGAAAACAAAAGCAAGGATTGTCAAAACGTTATCATCATTTCTGTCATAAATCTGCTTTCAGCGGCCAGGCATTGTCCTCCGAGTGTCCCAGTGGGAGTGCAGATCAACACAGAGCGGGCAAATGCGGCACTTCTTTCATGGACTCCAGCGCAGGACTCGCGCAAGAACCCTCCATCCGGTTATGTACTGGAGCGACAGGAAGTGGGTACGGGTTCACAAGAATGGTTACAGTGCCTGACCACCGACTCGGCTACCTCGGTGGAGATCCTAGGCGATAGCGTGCCTTGTGAGGCCGATTATCGGTTCCGTATTTGTAGTGTCAACAAATATGGAAAGAGCAACAATGTGGAGTTCCCTCGAGCAGTGCATTTGGGTGAGTTGAGTTCATCAATGGATTCATGTCACGGTTGATCATTTCTGATGTTACGTCTGTTTATTTTACCCCTCCAGTTCCGGTAGCCAGGATACAAACCCCCTTACAGGATGCACTGGTTCCAGAAGGACAAGATGCAATCTTCACCATTGAACTATCTGCATCGGTCATCGGCTCGTGGTTCTTAAATGGCACGCAGCTTCAGGACGATGAGCGTTTTTCCATGCGCCGCTCGAGGACACACCAGTCTCTTCGGATCCAAGGGGTTCGAGACACCGAAAATGGAGCCGAAATAACTTTTATTGCATACGGCATTCGGGATTCAGCTGCCTTGTACATTCAAGGTGAGTGTGTCTCAAGCGGCTCAAAATGTCCTCCATCTCAGATGGACTGGACAAAAACGCAGACCATTTTCATCACTAACGGGCATGGATTTTTCCTTCCGATCATCAGCGCCTCTGGCCAAGTTTTCATTGCTGTCAGAAATGGATCGAAACAAATTTGTCGAAATTGGGAACCCCATCGTGCTGTATTGCGAGCTCTCAGACCCCGCCGCTCCGGTACACTGGTACAAGAACGGGGTGGAGTTACAGACAACAGATGGTCTTCACATCCAGTCAGAGGGTACCATGAGGAGGATCGTCATCCAATCAGCAGAGTTCTCACATTCAGGAGTGTATTGCTGCGACGCCATTGACGATGTCATCAGGTTCAATGTGGAAGTCGAGGGTAAGTGAGTTCTTCTTATCAAGCGGTCGTCTTGCAAAACTTTTGCCGGATGACCTCTTTTTCTACATTTTATGAATGGCGTATATTCAAATGTCCGTAGCCCCATCTGTGAGATTTTCAGCGATTCCCGAAGCAGCGAGGAACAAAACCATCCACGCAGGCTCCCAAATTCTTTTACGCTGCGAACTGTCAGAGCACAATGCCCAGGTGCACTGGTACAAAGACGGCTCAAAGCTCTTTCCTCACAATGGAGTAAATATTCAAGCAGATGGACTGGTGAGGAAGTTGATTATCCCTTCGGCCGACTTTTACCACTCAGGGTTGTACTGCTGCAAGACAAAGGGTGACAGCGTCACGTTCAATGTGAACATCAAAGGTGATTTATGATTTTGCAACATGGAAATGTACTTGTATGCAAAGCAACGCAACTATTACGCGTGAGCTGTCGCTCCACTCTGACCATTTCTTTGACTCGATTAGATGATGTAAGTGACTGCCCTGTCAGTTGTCAGACTCAACTTATGGATAACAGACCTTCAGAGTTGTCTTAATTTTGACATTAGCTGTTAAACTGTACCTGTAGCTCCATCGGTGACGTTCTGTCCACTCCCTGGAGAAATGAGGACCCAATTGATTGAAGCGGGGGGCCCCGTTGTACTCCGGTGTGTGGTTTCTGATCCTGAGGCTCCTGTTTGCTGGTACAAGGATGGAACGCAGCTCGTTTCGACCTCAGAGCTGGAAATGCAGTTGGATGGAACCACAAGGACTTTGGTTGTTCGGGATGCAGAGATGCACCACTCTGGTGTCTATCAATGTAGAACAAAGGATGACACGATGGACTTTCAAGTTGAGATAAAAGGTGACTTCTTTTGTGTTCTGCGCCCCCCCACCCCCAAAAAAAAAGACTTTGCATCTCTTGAAGATGCTATTAATAACCTCTGCTTCAACTTGATGTAGTTTGGATGATAACTTCAGACTTTCATTTCACTATAACTGTGGTCCGCTATGAAACCAATGTTTCCAAAGCAATTGAAAATTCCAAGTGATATTTTTTGAAGGTATTCATTGACCTTTCTGAATTTCCAATGCTAGCTAAGCCGGTGAAGCCCGCCGATCACCTTGACGTTAAGAGAGCCAAGTCCTTTGACATGGGCGAACCTTTGGTGCTGGAATGTGAGGTGGCAGACTCCGTGTTGCCTGCACAGTGGTATAAAGATGGCGTGAAACTCTTTCCGCACAAAGAGCAGGACATACAGAGCAACGGCACTTTGAGGCGACTCGTTGTCCCTTCTGCTGAGCCTGTGCACGAGGGCCAATACCACTGCCAAACGTCAGATGGGACAGTCCACTTCACTGTGGGTATGAGAGGTGATTATGCATTGATCGACTCAAGCAACTAACATTCTGTTTGTCACTCCAGTCAAATGGTGTTTTTATGGTCTTACAACAGTTTCTTGAATTGGTGTCAAAATAATCTCTGTTCGCAAACATTACAAATGCTCGTCTATTTGACTTTCTCCTCAAACGTATGACCGTTTAGGGAAAGGTGAACATTTTAACCCCTTCTCGCAATCAGAGTATGGAAATGCACAGTTTTTCCACAATTATGATTTGAGTCATTACCTTTAGTGCCGTTGTCAGCCTCACCGAAGTTTGTGGAGAATCAATCACTTGAGGACCTCTGCTCCTTGGAACAGCCACGTCAAATTTCAGACCCCGGGATTCATGGCCCACGCCAGGCCGAGGCGTCACTGCAGAAGGCGAAAGCCACCGTATCAACTTCAGAACAAGAGTTTGTCATGGAAGCCATCAAGAAGACACTTGTCATTGGACCAAGTCATCCATCAAACTCTGGAGCATACTACTATGCAACAGCGGATGATGTTGCTCCGTTAGTTGTCAAAACTCAAGGTGATTGCATCTGTTTGTAATCTGTGTTTTCGATTTATGTTTCTGGTTTGTGTGCAAAAGCCAATATACGACGTCTTTTACTCAAAACGCTTGTTCTAATACTTCAATCCTCAATGACTGTCCGTAGTGCCGGCTGAGACACGTGGTCCAGATGTTGCGAGGGCCAAATCTGCTGAAGAACGCTGCCCGATTGTGCAACAATTTGAAATTTCAGACCCCGTTGCCAAAGCTTGTTGGTACAAAGACGGAACTCCATTCTACCCAAAAATGGAAACTCAACTCAACTGTATTCAAACAGAAACTCTTGTTAAACCTGAAAGCAGCATCCAAGCCTGTTCACTTCCAAAAATGGAAACTGTTGTTGAACCTGAAAGCAGCATCCAAGCCTGTCTACTTCCAAAAACAGAAACTCTTGTTGAACCCGAGAGCGACATCCAAGTCTGTCCACTTCCAGTCACGCTTGACACGGCTGCTGTTGCGAGTTTTCACTGCCAAACATCTGACGACACGCAATTAAATGTGGACGTAAAAGGTGTTCTTTTTCCCCCCCCATTATAATTCAACTATTTTGTTTCGTGTCGGGAGATATGACCACGCTCATTCTTTTCTCTTTGGCTTTGTCAAAACAGCACGGCAGTGTCACCGTGGTGGTGAGATTGCTGAGGTTTCTGATGCATCTGCCCAAATCACTGCGGATGTCCAAGGTGATTTCATACATTTCAACATCAGTCATCCATTTTTAACCCAGCCGATACATGCCACTAACAGTGGTGGTGTTTTACTCTTGGCTCGATCATCTGAGGCACCCGCCCATTTTTTTTTTTGCCATTCAGACTTGCTTTTTTTGCCATCTTGTCCTCTCTAGTGCATTGTTTTCTGGAATTGGTGTTCTTGAAAACAATGTGCGGGTGTTTAGTTTACCTGAGCACTGGCTCAAAACTAACCTACGTGTTGTTTGTCACCCCATTTTCCACAGTAAGAGAGATCTTTGCGCTTCACCTACCGCTTGCGGCTCTTTCAGCTCATTCCATGTGTTTCATCAAACATCACCAGATCCTCCAAAGCTTTGCCCGTTGCAATGACAAGGAACTCTTATGAAAGCGATGCAATGTGCATCTTAAAAAAATGACAAAGGTATTTCTTGTAATTTAGTGTCTGGTTGTTTTGTAGGGCAACTTTAAGAGCTCAATTTCAGACCAAACCTGGTCGACCATCTTGTTTGTCTTTGCAATGGATGACCACATAACTCCATCCTAACCCACAATGATGTCGATGAAATTCTGTTTTGAGAGGAACCGTTGAGACCGACTACCACTGAAAACGTTTCTGCTTGTAGCCGAGCTCCCAAGATTTGCCTCCGAACCAGAGAAGATCAACTCGACAGATGCCGATGGCATTCCCTCAAAGCACAAGTCTGGCAGCTCCAGTGGCGAGAGGAGAGATTCTCTGACATGCGGAGCACATTCCACGCACAAGAGCACTCACCGGTCGACTCATGAATACGTGACCGCAGGGATTTTTACAAAAGACAAAAACGAGAAAAACGGTCAGGAAAAAAAACGGACTGTCAAATCTCTGCCCGACTGCAACCCAATCAAGCCGTCAATCATAAAGCTTAAGCCATGCTCTCAAACTCGACATTTTACAGAATCACAAGGTGAGGAATCAATTTTCCATATACGGAAGACAGAAGACCCTGAGGTTTCTGAACAATTTATGACTTCCTTGCAGACAGCTGTCCCATTAGACGTTTGTAATTCCCGTCCGAGTTCAAATGTTGAATCAGAGGAGTCTAATCTGAAGGATGTATCTGTTGAATTCGAAGAGCGATATGGCCCAGCGCCCACTGCTGCGCCGTCAGACCTCGATAACCACCAAAAGACTTCTGCCCCCCAGTCAAGGTGCTTTACGAACCAAATAGAGACTGTGTCGGTCCAATTAGACAGATACTCTGACTCTGTTAGCGGTCCCCACACAGAGAAGCCTTTTAGGGCGATGCAGTCCACAAGATTTCGGGTAGAGGATCCCCGCAATTCCGCAGAGATTTCAGACTTCCTGACCAATAATCTTCTTAATTGCATCCAGACTAAACGACTCATTTCAGACAAGCACAGTAATTCCGTACAGCCTGATATCTACCAATCAGAGGAGATGTTGACTGTCTCCTCGGCAAAGACTGACACTGCTCAAACTATACCTTGTTTATCGATGGAGCTGCATGACTCTCAACATCTGGAAACGGTCCGGCCAAAGGAGAATTCACCTGTCCACGCTCCATTTGTTGGACCAAATGGTGCCTGTCAAACAGAACCGGCCGCGACTACCCAACAATATCAGTCCATGCTGGAAACAACTGTCCTGACCGCTCATCCCCACAATGCGGAGGCTCCAAAGGACCTGGCGCACGACACACTGAACTCTGGACAAAGATCGTCATTGCAGTTTTCAGGTTCCGCCTGTTTTGAGCAGACAAGTGTCCAATCAGAAGAGAGCTATTCGTCAAGGACATGTGGCACTCACAGCAATGTCACTGCAAATAAGGTGGCTGTTGAAGGTGATTTAAATGGTTAGCATGAGCACAATCAGATGCTTTTTTTTTAGGGATTACTGGCATTTTGGCATTTGCATTTAAGTAATACTACATTCGGGCAATGTAAATTTGGACTGCCATTTGCCGAAAGATCAAACATAAGTACACCGTGTAAAGGCCTTTTCAAGCCTATGATTTTTTTTTTTCTAGATGGTGTTGATTTGCTCCACTGTTTTCTTGAATCACTGATAGTGATGCCTTTTTTTTCCTCAATGTACCTCAAAACACCCTCAGCTCCGCCTGCGACTATTTCAACACCGCGTCAGACCGAGAGGATCGAGTCTGTCGAAGTGGATGAACCCGAAGCGCTCCCTGTAGCGCCACCGTGTGAGCCATCAACTGCAAATGAGGTCGTCTCTCAGCACGATGATGGAGTAAAACAACACAAAGAGGCCGGCCAAGACCCGATGGTGGATGGTTCCCTAAGAGAAGCGGCTGTGAGTTCTGCGGTGCCGTCCGATGCGGGGGTTCGCATCTGTGAGGCAACATCTGATGCCGTGCCATTTCAAGCGGATGTTCAAGGTGACACGCAGTTTCTGTCAGGATAGACTGTACAAATGCAATGATTTGTCTTGATTATCACTTACGGGTGGAATAACTGACAAAGTGCTTGAATGACTTTTTCTGGTCCTTCCTCTGCACCCTGAGACCTTGCCCTTCTGCCTTTGTTTTCCCTTCGATTTTTAACCCCAAACCATACGACATTCTTACCCATGAGAACCAAAAACGAAAGGTAGTCACCTTCTGCCGGAAGGACTGCCCCGAAGTCGCAAGAAGCATATCGGCTTGCTCCCCGTCTTGAATGAGCATGCCAACTAACAAACATCTTTCATGATATCCTTTTCAACATGTACGAACATTTGTACTAATGTCTTGCGTTCACACAATTGAATAGGATACAGTGCGGAAAGTATTTTTGTCTTTGCCTGTAAGACATGAATTATGTGCTGGTGAAAAGCCCGAAAACCGGACTTACTCTCTGACCTCTTTCATATATCGGCCAGGGACAACTCAAAACCATTGCTACAATTGAATTAGTTTGAAGATTTTGTATAACGGCTTCATAACTAACCAATCAACCAAACAACAAATACGTCAACCCAAACACGGTACCTCTACTGATAATTTGGACCTTGGAAGAGGTCATTGCAAACAGTCTTACAGAACGAGCATGGTTATGGTGGTTATATTTTTGTTTCACTTTCCTGACGGCAAATGCAGACGCCGGGACTAGGATTTTGTTTTCTTTTTACGATTGTACTTTCAGATATTTCACTCCTAGGTTTTCAAAACTAATTGCATTTTGCATTCCGTCTTCTAGTTCCACTTCAGGCATTGTCTGCTATAAGAGAGGCTGAACAGAAACAGTCAGTCACGGAAGGCAGTCCCATTGCTCTTCATTGTGAGTTGTCGGACGCCAATGGACAAGTCACGTGGTACAAAGATGGAACAAGGCTCCGACCGCAAACTGGAATTGACATCCGGTCAAAGGATCATTTGCGAAGTCTAGTCAGTCCGTGTACCCAGGTGGCTCATTCAGGCGTAAACCATTGTGAGTCAAAGGATGACGACGTGCAGTTCACTGTGGAAGTAAAAGGTGATGCCTACACGAGTCTTAACTCGTTCTGCACTGCCAACTAACTGGAACAGCGGCTGTTCATATTTCCAACCAACTCACAAAAAGCTGTTCATCCATTCTCTACCTTATTTGGTGTGCTACTCTTCGAATATACCCTCTCTTAAGCGGTCTGTATAATTTCACCAATAAGATGTACAGATACATGGAACAACATCTTCGAAAACCCCTCCACCTACAAATACGACTACCGTTGACTACTTTCTCAGTTTTCCTTTGCTGTGATGTTTTCGGCTCCGAGACGGTTCAACAACAACAATTGTCTGTCTGTTAGTGAAATGGGTGTCTGTAGCCACTTTGTTATGTTCTCTGACTATACATTAGGTGGCAGTGTTGCTGTAAAAATACGGTTGCGATGAAATAGCTTGTTAAGAAAGTACAGTGTTTGGCTACACTCTGACCTTGACACATCAACAATGGCAGAGGACTCTCTTTTTAAATTCCCATCATGTGAAGTGAGGTTATGAGCCGTCTTTCTTGCAATCATTCTTTCACTCATTTGTCCTACTCAGTCAACTAAAGTTGATGGGGTGCCGAACACATGTATCAACGTATTAACACTTTTTTTTTTTTTTTTGTAATATCTTAAAGATGTAGCATCCCCCACGAAGTTTTCAGAGCTTCAAGAGGCAGACAGGAACAAGATCGTCCAAGAGGGCTCTGCCATTGTCCTCAGCTGTGAACTGTCTCGAGATTCGCCCGTTGACTGGTACAAGAACGGGCTCAAAGTACACCAACAGAGCAATTTGGAGATTCAAACGGAAGGTCGAAGAAGAACTCTTGTCATCCCTTTGGCCCAAACCACACACGGCGGCACGTATGAATGTGCAACAGCCGACGACGCCGTTACATTCAAAGTGGATGTAAAAGGTGATCGATTTATTTTCGTCATCTTCTTTTGATTTGCCACCCGCATTACAATGATTTTCTTCAGTATTTTTATGTGCATCAACGTTTGCGGATTCAAAACCGACACTGTTCTTTACTCTTAGGCCGATTGCCACATATTATGCCCGTTGCGCAATCGGAGAAACACCGGACGATCGCGACGGGTTCTCCAATCATTCTCCAGTGCGAGGTATCGGATCCGGTTGCTCAGGTTTCCTGGTTTAAAGATGAGGCCGACCTCTTTTGCAAAACTGGCCTCGACATGAAACGAGATGGCAGCCTCAGAAAATTACTCATTCACTCTGCTAAAGTGTCGGACTCGGGCCTCTACGGCTGTAAACTGGCAGAAGATGTTGTCACGTTCCATGTGGACGTCCAAGGTGGGATTTCCTTGTGTTTGAGTTTGAGGAGCATATAATGAGGTGAAAAGTGTCAAATTCATTGACGCCTAATTGTCTTTTTTTTTCTCATCTCATCTCATTTTTTGTTTTGTTTTTTTCAATCTCCAAATGTTTTCCACTTAGCAGCTACTCCTGTAAGATTCGCAGCAATTCCAGACAGAGAAAAGAACAAACTGGTAGAGGCAGGCAGCCCAGTTAAGATGCAGTGCGAAGTCTCAGAGCCAAGTGCCCAAGTCCAGTGGCACAAGGATGGTGAGCAGCTGCTTCCAAAAAGTGATTTTGAAATCCAATCTGAAGCCACATTGAGAGCCTTGGTCATTAAAGCTGCACAAGTCAGACACTGTGGGGTGTACAGCTGTGATTCTGCAGATGACCACGTAGAATTCAAGGTGGATGTTGAAGGTGATTTACGTCTCTTTCAAATCTTTAACCTTTTGAGTTTTTTTTTTCTTTGTGCAACTAAAACAATTTGGACTGAGACTATTTGTAAGACTGTGTACATAACGGGAGGTTGAAAGATGCTTCATGCCCAGGAGTGAAAAACCTGCAGTGTCCCTCAATTTTTCTCTCACTTTTGTGATCTGTTGTTTGGTTTGGTCTGGTCTAACCAGTGTCATCAACCCTGGTTCCAATACAAAATCTCAGATCAATGGACTGCATGCTCGCCAAAACCACAAGCGTGCTCACTCACCAGATTACAGGTGACAGCGCTTTAGCTGTCATCCGATGTATGTGACAAAAGTGAGTGTGGCAAAAGCTCCGCAACTCTTGTAGCCCTGATTTTATTCTCAGCTGTTCCAGAAATTAAAGCCAGACAGGCGCTTGAAGCAGGCGATATTGACAAAACGCAGCGCAAGGGCTCAGATGCCACAGGCCGCCCTGTCTTGTATGAGGATGGAATCAAACGCTTTCCCAAATCCACTGCCAAGATCGATTCGGAAGAGCTCACGAGGACATCTGATCTGGACTCGGCAGTGTCTTCGGTCTCTGGGGAGTACAGTTATAAAAGTGACGATGAGTCAGAGTCCAACGATTGCTTTGCGGAGGTGAAAGGTGATACGCATAGCTTTTTCTTGTCAAGATGTGATTGTGGAGTTCCATTCTATGCCACAACCTCTAATCGCCCGCAAAAGTAAAATCATCCGTCACAACGCTTCTAATTCCTTTTCATCACACGTCGCAATTAAGATGAAGCGCTTCACATGCCGCCATTGCCCCATTGCTTCAAATGTAATTAACTCCCTTTTCTAACGTTTATGTGGAGTGGTCATTTAAAACAAAATAAAGTGTGGACGGCAAAAAAGATTGATCTCCGCATGTCTTAACTGCCATGCAGCTGCTGTGAACGAGAGTTATGATCGGAGAGTCGAGTCAAATCTATGTCAACATCCTTTTTGTGCCTTTAGCCCCACCGGTCACATTTGCCGACGTCCCTGAGGAGGAACTTTTCAAGAGCGTAGTGGAGAAGTCGCAGCTGGACCTGTCGTGCCAGGTGTCGAGGGCGGACGCTGTCGTCCATTGGTACAAGGATGGCGCTGAAATACGGCCCAACAGCAACATGACAATACGAGCCGAAGCCACAAAGAGACATCTTGCAATCCAGTCAGCCCAGCTGTCCGACTCGGGCGTGTACACTTGCCGCGCAGGAGACAACGCTGTCATGTTCAAGGTTACCATTCGAGGTAAGGAAAATGTCCGAGTTTGCCTGAATGCGGTCGAAAAAATAAGAGCGGCAAATTTCTGACCGTTTCTTCCAAGAACCCCCGGTGATGATCGTATACCCAAAAGAAGACGTCCACCTTGAGCGTCACGTACCCGAAGAAATTATTCTCAGCTGTGAGCTCTCCCGGTCAAATGGAGTGGTGAGCTGGTACAAAGATGGCCAAAAGCTCCAAATGAGCGAGAATATCAAACTGGATGTCCAAGGCCCTTATCGGCGACTGAAGATTCTGACGAGCAGAGTCGAGGATTCCGGAGAATATGTTTGTGATACAGCAGATGATTCCATATTCTTCAACCTCAGCATTACAGGTACAATCCGTGAACGTGCATGTCGTGCATTGGTTTGTTTGCTTGCCTCGTTTGACATTTCGCTCAAATGCCAACGCGACAAAGTAGGATTATGAAATCGTCCCAATGTGAACGTCATAGAGGGTTCCAGTGAATGTTCAGCATGCTCCGATTTGTTATCCTTTGCATGGTTTTACCCAAGCGTTTCCTTGTGTCAACATCCAGAACCTCCGGTGCAGATTGTATCTCCGAGTCAGTCCCAAATGGAACTGTGCCAGCAAGTGTCAGAGAGGATGGTACTGAGCTGTGAGATCTCACGGCCAAATGCGGTGGTCCGTTGGTACCGAGACGGACTTGAGGTAGAGGAGAGTCACAACCTCATACTGGAGGTAGACGGCGTGTACAGACGCCTCGTTATACCTGAGACTACTGTCAAAGATTCCGCCGAATACGTCTGCGACACAACCGATGACTCAATGACGTTCTTTGTAAATATCGCCGGTGAGGAAAGTCCCGACTCGACAAAGGTGCAAAGTTAAACGGGCCCTGAACTACGTCTCACCACATTGCATACGTCCACAGAGCCTCCTGTCCGCTTTGTCCGTCCCCGAAAGATAGTGAACAGACTCGAAAAAGTAGTCGGCGAATCCTTGGTCCTGGACTGTGAGGTGTCCAGACCGAACGCTGTGGTTCTCTGGAAGAGGAATGGAGAAGAGGTGGAAGACTCCCAAAACGTCACAGTCGCGGAAGACGGTGTCGTGCGTCAATTAACTGTTCATTCGCTGACCTCCGAAGATGCCGGCATATATGTCTGCGATGCAAAAGATGACGTGATGGATTTTCACGTTAAAGTCAAAGGTAGGTCTTATTTTCAAGTCATCATCAAGTTATTAAGTTTGGCTGTTCAACGTCTCTTCACGTTTGCTTTTCAGAGCTGCCCGTGCAAATTATTGGGAAACCCGCTGCGAAAACCGAACAGCAATTCCTGGTTTCTGATGACATCATTCTAGTGTGTGAACTGTCCAGACCAAACGCGTCTGTCTGCTGGTACAAAAACAATCGACCGATTGACGATAGCGGGCGCTACTGCAGCGAGGAGCAGGGAGTTTTCCGATCATTGGTGGTCCTCAACGCTTCGCCGGAGGATTCGGGAGAGTACACTTGCGATGCAGTGGACGATAAGATGGTCTTCCATATCACAGTCGCAGGTAATTCCATGATCACGTTATTTACCCGAAAAGACATTGAGCGCATCGATTGCTTTTCATTTAGAGCCCCCGGTCAAGATCGTTGGAAATTCTGGTCACCCGGAGCATCACATACTACTGGCGGGAGAAGACCTTATTTTAGAGTGTGAGGTGTCTCGGCCAAACGCCACCGTTCGGTGGCTCTGGAATGACGAGATCCTGAAACCGGACACCCGCGTTAAAATTTACTGCCACGACGTCACGAGGAAGCTTGTTCTCTCTCGACTTCAGCCGTCGGACTCTGGAAAATATGTTTGTGATGCCGCAGATGACAAGCTGACGACCGTTGTGGAGGTGCAGGGTAAGAATCTGCGTGTTTTAAAACGTTAAAAGGTGAAGAACACGAAATGAATCCAAACTTCTCCTTGTTCCCACCGCAGAGATCCCAGTCAAGTTTGTGAATAAAAAGGCAACTCATAAAATGTTGGCCTATGAAAACGAGAGCGTCACGCTGTGTGCTGTCGTGAGCCGAGACAAAGCTAATGTGCGCTGGTTGAAAGATGGCCAACTCCTGAACAAGGACAACATTCACATCTCCGGCGAGGGGAATACCCACAAGCTCACCATTAATCCCCTGCAGCTGTCAGATTCCGGAGACTATGTCTGTGATGCAAACACAGACGAGATGCATTTCAGTCTTTTTGTCAAAGGTAAGAATTTGACACCCGCTCATCCGAATGAGCTCCCCGCGTCCACCTGAAATATTTCCGTCACCAAGTTCATTCCCCGTCAGAAATGAAGGTGAAATTCATCCGACCGCTGGAGAACATCGCGTCTCTGAAGGGCAGCAGCCTGACGTTACGATGTGAGATCAATAAGTCAAAAGGAGACGTCCAGTGGATGAAAGACGGCCTCGAGATCTCACCAAGTCCACGTCACCGGATACGAGCGCAAGGTCGAGAGCGAAGTTTTACGATCTTCGAAGTACTTGAAGACGACGCCGGCAATTATGCCTGCGAAAGCTCAGATGACAGAACCTCAGCGACGGTCACTGTAACCAGTAAGTCGACGTAAAAATCATGCAACCGTTTTTGAAAAATGCCATCTGAAAACCGTTTTCTCTGCTTCCAGCCCCCCGTGTTGTGGAGTTCATAGCGGAACTCCGTAACATCACGGTTTGCGAACGGGAAGACGCGGTATTTCGGTGTGTGGTTTCACCAGCGGACGCTCATTTGGTGTGGCTCCTGAACGGCAAACCGGTAGCCCTGAATGAGCGCGCCGTTGTTTCGAGCAATGGACTCTGCCACATCCTCTGTCTCCGCAATTGCACTCTTTCCGATCGCGGCGTAGTGACGGCCGATGCCGAGGGATTGCTATCGAAGGCGGAGCTCCAGGTTCAAGGTGAGTGTCCCGTGCCTCAACAAATTGAGCTAAAACCACAGATTTGCCACATTCGCAAATCTCCTGTTCACGCCACTTGACACATGCACGCATTGCTATTGTAAACGGTGGAAACTGATCAAGATCAAAGCGTTCTCACGCTAAATACAAGCACTTGTTTGAAATATATCGACGGCCAAAATGCAAATCCTCCAATCTGTCAGAGGTGTACGATTGGTCGCTTGAGACTGCGTCTCCCAGATGGTCTGGGAACGGCCTGGGATTCCCGGATAAGTGCTAGAGAATGGCTGGCTGGATGGATGGATGGGTGGAGGCATGGCGTCAAAGGCATAGAAAGATCAAAGAAATGATCAGTCCATTTTCTCTCCATAAATAAAATACGAATACGTAAATGCCTGCTTTTTGCAGTCGCCATTTGGGCTCTTTTTCCCACCTTCGCAGCAACATATGATCAATTTCCATAACTGCATGAATACATTTAAAGGTTAGGAGTTATTGCTAAGCCAGATGGTGAACCGGAGCTGAGAAGTGACGAGCTGATTAGTCATTAAAAAAAAAAAATGTTGAGAAGGTGCCTTTGATGGCCGGTGCTTAGCGGCTTCTCCCGTTCAACGCGCGAGGCTAACTGACAGAGACACGTGGCCGAGCGTGCTTGGAGAGCCGGATTCCTGACGGCTTTCGGCTCACGCCGCGTACTTGAAGTTGCGCTGTGCATTGCCGACCTCCTTTGCTGTGTATTGTGTTCCTCGGTGTCTGGGTGCGGTTCCAAGTAAGTAGCATTAAATGGCAGTGGCGGCAAAAGTACTCGCGGAGGGAGAAAAGAAGACAAAAGTGAGACTTGACCAACACCTTTTGTTCTGATTAATGTGCCCTTGACACCCCCCCCCACCCCCAAATAAAAAAAAAAAGTGCTAGTTAGCCCAAGGGCAACACAAATAGCTCCTGGGTGTGTTCTAAAATTAGCTCACCAGTGATGGGATGCTATGAATTACTATGAAGAATGAAAACAGAAAATGGTATTTTATTTTAGATGTTTTTTTTTTAAATCAACATTTGTGTATTTCAACTTAACATGGAACACATTTCTTTGTGTCAAATATTCAATCTCGGTCGGGTTACTGTAATGCACTTTGGAGTCAGCCAATCCTCCATGAAGCATCTCCAGTTGGTCCACAATGCTGCCGCTCGTCTCTTGACTGCTACGCCTATAAAGAGGGAGCACATCATTCCTACTCTGGCAGCCCTTCACTGGCTCATGTTAGAGTTCTTTTTAAAATTCTCTTATTTGTTTTCAAATCTTGAAATGGCCCCGCCCCACCTGACCTCTCGGACCTCCGACGAACTCGCCCGGTGCCTCAGTTCTGTGGACTAGACCAGATTAGAGGTAGCGAGAACTAAACGGAGGCTTAGAGGGGATCGAGCCTTTGCCGGAATGACCTCCCGCTAAAAGTTGTTATATGAATTCTTTTTGCTCCGTGTACAGTGGTGGTTGTATTTAATTGTCCTCTAGAAATACACTTGAGTTGAGTTAATCGTGTTTGGTGAAGTCATGCATCCTTTTTTTTGGTCTTTTTATTTTTTCAGAACAGCAGGTGAGGTTCACCAAGAAGATGGCGCCGGTTACGGCTGAGGAGTACAGCGACGCGACCTTGGAGGTGGAGGTGAGCCTGGATTCCAGCGAAGTTCAGTGGATGAGGCAAGGGGTGTTGATCCACCCCGGGGCCAAATACACCCTGAACCAGCAGGGCCCCAAGCACAGCCTGACCATCCACAAAGTGACCGCGTCCGACCGGGGCGGCTACAGCTGCGAGACCCTTCACGACTGCACGCAAGGCCAGCTCACGGTGGAACGTGAGTGTGCGCATGTTGTCGCCATGCCGCCGCGGTTGTTTATTTACCTCTGTTGCCGACCGCACCGGGGTCTTGCGCACGCTCCGTCCACACATGTCGTGGAAGCAGTCACTGAGTGAGAGTAATTTGAGTCAGCGAGGACCGTCGAGGGGTTGGGGGCGGGGGTGCTGGTATTGCAACTGACAGCTGACTGCCACCTTGAATGAGTCTGCTTGGAGAGTACGGCCGCTGGATAAAACAGCAGTTTTCGGGGAAGCATGTGCCACCGCTGGCATACTTTCCGTACTTTTGACCGCACGTTCATTAATCGAAAGAAGAAAAAGATTTTGTTCGTCTTGTTTATTGGCTACACTGGACTGTTAGCTGCAATTCCACAATTATTTATGAAGCAAATGCTATTGAGAGTGCATGGCTGAGTTGATTTATTTTTTTCAGTATTACAAACAATGCATAATGCTAATCAACATATCTGACCAGTAAATATTGAAAAATATCTGAAAAAAGAAGAACTATAATTTGAATGGAACGGACGTCCTGGAAACAGCCTCAACAAAGAAGCAAGAGACAATGTCAATGTCGATTTTTTTATTTTATTTTTTTTTCCCTCTGAACATCTGCCCGTTGACTGACTTGAGATCTTTTCTATCATCACTCGGGAGGGGGAAAGTCAGGACCTCAGGCGGCTGGCACCGCCACTGAATTTGGATCTCCCCTCGTTGCTTCTAAATTTACACCCTGGCCTTCAAAACCAAGGTTGTTGTCATCGGGTCTCCAAAATAAACACTCGTTTTTTTTTCCACGCGAGAATGGTCCTCTATGTTAGAATCGATGAAAAATGTTGGCAGATTCCAAGTCGGCTTTTGCGTAAAGCCTCGTACTCGGATGACCAAAATATCAGTCGAATTCTCATCAAGACCGCTGTAGGCAGATCAGAATCCGAGCCAGCAATAAGGACGGTGGACGCGGTTCCTTGCAGCCAGTGTTTTAAAAACATTTGCGTGTTCTTTGTAATAATAAGTTCTGTGTGTCCCCTCTCCCTTGAATGTTGAATCCACCTCCTTTTCAGCCATCTCGAGGATCCATTCTTGCAAAAAATTGAGTTTTCAGGCATTTGGAGGCCCCAGTTTTTCAGAATAGTTGACATGGAATCTCTTAAAACTCAATTCAGTACCAGCCAATTCTGGACCAAGTCTGAAAAGACGTTTAAAAACGTCTTTGGGAGTGAATGAGACAACCAAAAATCAAAACAACAAAAAAAGACCATTGTCTGGAAAAAAAGAAACTTTCAACCTAATATAAGTAGACAAGATGAAAATCATAGCGCTCTGTCTTATGAGTGTTATATCTTTCCAGCTCGAAAAGTCACCATCAAGAAGGGCCTGAGCGACCTGACAACCATGGAGAGAGAAACCGCCTCCTTGGAGGTGGAACTGTCCCATCCCAATGTGGCCGGCACCTGGTGGCGAAATGGAAAGCAGCTCAAGCTGTCGAGCCACTTCCGCATGAGCGCCAAGGGACACGTCCACAGCTTGACTATTTGCAACCTCTCGGTGGACGACACGGCCGCCTTCATGTTCTGTGCCGAGAAGCTGAAAACATCGGCGCGGCTCGTTGTCAGGGGTAGGCCATTTGAAGATTAGGAACCCTTTTAGCCTGGATTTACACTGCTGGCCTAAGAGGCCATTTTAGTGCGGCGGGGGTGTCAAACTCCTTCCTGTCGCAGGCCACCTCGCAGTTCGGCTTTCCCTCAGAGGCCTGTTATGACTGTCAAAGCAGATCAATGTTTCATTACACATTAGCAGGTGCAACAATCAACCATTATCAGCTATTTTGACAATCGATCGGTTGCGCAAATGAATTAACCCACTTTAAATGGTGCACATCCTCGCTATGTCAGCCACTCGGTATACGTACGGACAAACAAACATCCGTACGCAGATTTTACGCCAATGGGCCAATACGAAGCTAAGCATGCTAACATGCAGGTTTTTCAAATGCGGAAGGAAGGGAATTTTGAAATACGACTTCCGTCCTTCATTAAACTTTGACTTTAAAAAAACACTGCAAAGTGACTTCATAGATTACTTTCACAATATATTATGAATGTCAGAAGATAATTGCTGCAAACACATGCAAAGACTGAGGACTGTGGAGTACAATACTCAATGTTCAACTATTTTTCAACATTTCGGTTTTACGGATTTTTTTTTAAGCGGTAGTCTACAGGTTAGCACGTCCGCCTCACAGTGCAGAGGTGCCGGGTTCGATTCCAGTCCTTCCTGTGTGGGGTTTGTATGTTGTATAGCTTTTCTCCGGGTACTCCGGTTTCCTCTCACATTCCAAAATCATCCGTGGCAGGTTCATGGAACACTCGAAATTGTTGCTGGATGTGATTGTGAGCGCAGTTGGTTGTTCGTCTATGTGGAGAAGGGCAACCTTTTCGTTCCTGTGATATTTAGGGCTGCACCTGCGAATTCTTACTTTATATTATTGAGGAGGAATGGGCGAGTACCGATACCACGTATTGCTATTGGGCCGATACAAGTGTCCTCACGATGGCTCCCAATCCCAGTCACTGGTGCCCTCTTGTGGCTGTTCTACTCTCAAGACGTAAATAGCATGTCTGATGGAACATTTTTTGAAGTGAACTGCATCCACAGGCCAATCCTCTCAAATACCCATTCAGATGCTCTTTCCATAACCGTGCGTTGATAAGCATGACATTCATGCTGAGAGTGCCCTTGCTACCAAAAAAGTGTACTTTTATTTGCAAACGCAATTTGGGAAGTAAAATGACTCTAATCCAGTAACTCATTGGTGTTCAGGTCACAAATGGGTCCTTTGGGAAAAAATGTCTTCTGGAGCCCAAAATTTGGAGACCTCAGATGGGCAGCTTCAGCGGAGCGCTCAGAGCCGATCAAATGACAGACAACAAGGAGGCCTGCTTAGAGAACGCAGCGGCTCTTTGGTGTGGCGAGCGCCACCTTGGTCCCGGCTCACGTTCCGAACGCAAAATAGCCTCGCGTGACCCAGTGAAAAGCGACGGCTTCGCTCAGCCTTTTCTGCCAGCTGCTCGTTTAATTAACCTGACGCTGTCAAAATAATCCGGTCGCTGCCAAGTCACTCACTATTCATCCCGTTGAGCCGGCGAGTGAGACTTTCATCCATTTGATGACAACCGGATCAGAATGTCATCACGCTAAATTATGCCGAACTTCACTCGATGGCTCCTTTCAATGATGGTCAACTATGTTTTTTTCAAATTGACTTCCATTTTGGACATCCAATTTGGACTTTGCAGAGGTGGACATTTGTTCGAATTTCATTTCTTTTTTTGTTTCATCAGGTAATTTTGCTGTCTCTCCTCAGAACCTCCTGTAACAATTTTCCGAAAATTAGAGGACCAGAGAATCCCCGAGGGCTCAGTCATCTCCATCGAATGCGAACTGTCGAGGCACAATGTGGACGTGAAATGGATGAAGGCGAGTATTGCTCTCAAGTCCTTTTGACTGACATTCCGTCGGGTGACAGGAACCCAAATTTGTCAAACTAGGTTAATAGGGATGTAAGCTCATCTCCAATCACAATTATGACAAATAGTTGCATGAAAAAAAGCTCCCTGGCCTAAAATATCAAACAATGAAATGATACGTATCGTGTGGCTTAGCGTACCATCATTCTTACACCATGAGGCTCACTAGTTCATAAAAAAAAAAAAATATGACACCACAAATGTTGCCATCTTGTGGTGTCATTCGGTATTACAGAAAGAGCCCCAATTTATGCAAAGAGCGGCAGATGGAGTACGAGGGGGCAATTAGCGGAAAGATTGGTTGAATCCCCGCCATAGGAGAAGAACTCCCCTGCCCCCAATCTTTTCAAGTTGTTGTTTTGTCCATCCTTCTCAGAACGGCAGCGAGGTGAAGCCGGGCAAAAACGTGCGGATTTACGCCATCGGAAGCAAGCGATTTCTTCAGATCAGCAAATGTCTCGTCAGTGATTCTGGCATGTACACCTGCGATGCGGGACAAGTGGCGACAAGCGGCACCGTGGAGGTCTATGGTAGGGTGGTCTATGGCGACAAGTGTGGGGGATTTGGTGGTTTAAAGTTGGGAACACAATTTCCGTCCATCCAAAACATGACATTGGCTGCTTTTGGTGTTCAAGGTCCTCAATAAAGTGTCAACTTTGGCATCAAGTCACATTGGCCGGACCCGGCACGGCGCCACACCGGGGCGAGTTGGAAATCGGTGTAGCCCCTGTTTAGCCCCAATTTGTTTTCAATTAATTCAGTTTAAAAACATGAAGAAATTCCCGAGGCCAATCCAATACCAGCTTCCACGTTTGTGCTTCTGGTGAAAGATATTGCCGATGACATGAGGTCCTTTATATTAGGCTGAACCGTTTTTGTCGAATGTACTTTGGCCAAATTCAGTTCAAAGTACTTCATTCATTCTTTCATTTACCCTCCCCGCCCCTTTGCTTCTCCCCAACTGCCTATTGACCAAAAAATAAATAATTAAATCCTAGTGCCGTGCCTGGGAAGAATTTAAAACCAAGAGGAAAACTCATCTGGACAAATAGTAAGACAGTATCAATCCACCTCAATCAAAACCTTTCTACAACCAGAAAATAAAACCCACAGAGACTGAAGTCTCATTCCATCTGAAAATCTTGACAACCGCACCGACTCATCGCACCACACGAACTGAAGCTTTTTGCTGTTTTCCCAAATACAGACGGCACAAGTTGCGGGAGTGAAAAAAAAAAATCCCAAAAGGGTTTCACCAAAGCAACCTCTTTGGAACTCAAGCTGTTGACCCGCATTCAATAGTTCCGGAACTATTTCTGCAGTCGGTATTCATTTACACAGTGCAAGTGCAAAGGTTACACGAGTGCAAAGGTGGCAGAGCAACATATTCCTGAAACTCGCCATCTTTTTGCCCCATCGAGTGCAACATTATTCAAGTGTCAAATCCTGAGTAGCATTATTTATTTATTTTAAATGGAAAAATAGACATAATGTCAACCGGTATTGGCCCACGGTGCGCAGGTTTATAAAACAAAGCTAGTTGCGCCATTTACTAATTGCTTTGCTTTCCATTGAGTACACCTCACCAATGACCAGCTAACATGCTCAACCGCATTCAAAACTGCAGCCCATCCCATCGCTGTCATCTGCTGGGACTTCCGCTCCGCAGTAACAAACGGTACAGAAATAGCGGTGGTCCTACTGCGAGCTGCACCGTGCGCTGCTCCGGTCCGCGAAATGCAACGTGGACTGTCGGTGACGAAACAGGAATCGTATGTTCATCATGAGCACAACGGGACGTGATACGGAAATATCCGTTTGCAGAACGGGAGCTGCTGGTTGTCCAGGGCCTGGAGGATTTAAGCATCGCCGAAGATCACAACGCCGTCTTCGTTTGCGAGATCTCAGTGGAAGACGTGCCGGGAGAATGGTACAAAAACGGGGAGATGATTCATCCCACCAGTACCACCAAGACCCGACAGGAAGGTCAGTGGAACCGCCGATGATGGAGCGCATGCTACATTGGGGGGATTCGGAACATCAACAAATCATGTTTATCGGGAATTATGGCAATGTCAGCCCCAACCAACAAGGATTTTTATACTTGCAAGATCCCAAAATGCCTCACGACAAATTTGAAGCTTTCAAAGTAGTTTCCGAGTTGGTTTCAAATAAGCGTTCGGGTTTAAAATGAAGCTTGTTGACGTTTCAGGGACCAAACACTTTCTCCTCATGTGCAACGTGCGACCTGAGGACTCCGGGGAGATCAGATTTGTTGCCAGACACGTGGACTCAGTTGCCAAGTTGCAGGTGAAAGGTAAAATTGCTCCCATTTTTTTTTCTTTTTCCAATATCAAAAGAGCCAAAGTAAAGCCAAAAAAGTGACCTTCCAGAGATTCCCCTGAGCATCGTGAAGCCTCTGCAGGATAAAACGGCGCTGGAGAAGAGCCGCGTGATGTTGGACTGCACCGTGTCCAACCCGCGCTGCAGCATCCGCTGGTACAAAGGCAGCAACGTCATCCTGCCCTCCGAGCGCTTCGAGATCAGCAGCGAGGGCTGCTATCGCAAACTGATCATCCAGCACGTGGCGCTGGACGACGAAGGCACTTACAGCATGCAGGTCGGGGAGTACACGTGCTCGGCAATCAAAGAAAAAAAAAAAATGAAAATAGCTTGCAACCAAAGTACAAGAAAACCCAAACCGCCTGGAGAACAAACCTTGGATCCGCTTCAACACAACGAAAACTATTGACTTGAATAACGAACAACATCAGCAAAGGCGGGAGCCAACAAACGGAGAAAAGAGACATCAAGGCGAGAGCCAAAAACGCAACGAGAGCAATAAGAGAGCCTCGAGACGAAATGCACATGAACGAGGTGAAATTAGGCGCCGCCTTGACGGAACCTCCAGGAGCTCCTTAAATCGTCCCAATCATTGTGACGCCAGACAAGTGCGTCGACATATCAAAAGAAAGAACATTTCAAAAATAAAAAGAAGAAAGCAATGTCGCCGTTCTCCCTTGCTTAAAATACCATGTCAGTGGCTATGCTAAAAATTCCGTCGGATATTCAGCTGTTTATCAAACGCTTGTCATTTTAACTCTCACGTTGTCGCCTTTTACATGTAAACGCATCTGTTGTGAATAGTAGATCTTTGATGCATTTCTGCTCTGTGAGAAAAGTTCTCATCGCGGTTAGACTTTTCCTGACTGGGTTTTCGGGCTGTCCAACCGCATGTAGTCAGATGTCGTGAGGACAGCACAGTGCTCTAAAGAGTGCGCCTTTGTAGAGAAACGTGGTTGAAAAAAAAAAAACACATACGCCACCTGCTGGATCTGGCAGGTCACTGCCCCACTTGGCCCCTAATGCAAACAGACAAACTTGTGCTCTTGCGTCCTGATTTGAAATCACTTCCCATGAAAACCGAAAGCCGTCCGTGAGAAAGTCAAAGGCGCCGCTGCGCTGATCTCGACGCTCGCGCTCATCCCAGGGCCCTCTGCTCCTTCAGGACGTCGTAGACGTCGTCCACGTTGTTTAGCCTTTCGAAAAAGGGGATCAGGTCGAGGAGCTCGCTATCCGACATGTCGTCGAACCAGGATGCCACAGGAACCTAAAGGACGCCGACATTTAGGAGGCATCTTGGGCAAGAATGCACGCAAAACGTACCGCGTTGTCCGGGTGGAAGGTGTAGGAGACCGGCGAGTTGTCGATGATGATGACTTTGTTGAGGTCCCTCCCTAAATGGCTCAAATCTTTGACGTAATTGCCTTTGTGGAAGACGCACGCCTCCCTGAAGAGACGGCTTCGGAAAGCTCCCCATTTGTCCAGGATGTCTGACACGGGATCCGCATACTGTTGAAGGGAAAAAAAACAAAAACAAAATACAACAAAATAGTTACTGGAGAAACTGAATGAGCTCATGAAGCATGCCGCCACTTGAAGCGAAAAAGGGAAAAGTGACTCCTCCTTTCCTGCCTTTCTAAATGGATACTTGGGCTTCGTGTTTGATTTCAGGCATGGGGCTTTTTTGTGCCTCTTGTGTCATCAAAGGTGTCGATCACATTCCAGTGTTGACCAGTGAAAATGTTATTGGGCAATTTTTTTTTCCCCCCTTAACTTTCCAGGTAGTGGCACCCAAAAATTACAGATATTTTTCACTAGCATACATGCGGCTAAATAAATCATCATAAATAACCTAAATAACCC